CACGTTCAACATTCAAATACTGAGAGACAAAACTACAAGGGATGCCTTCACTACAGAATTCAGAGCAAAGTCGAAGACCCTACGTGGCATGACTGAAGATACCCCCGAAGAAGAAAACTGGAACTCTCTGAAGGCGTTATTCAAGGAAACGTGGACAACTGTTCTAGGAAGAAACAAGAGACAAGACAAGGAATGGCTGTCAACGGATACCTACCTGAAAGCCAATAGAAGAGAGGAATATGGTGAAAGAGAAGTTGACTCAATGTAAAGATGGAAAGCAGAAGAAGCTGAGTTCAACGTACACTGCACTGAATCAAAAAAACGTGAAGAGTGCTAGAAAAGACAAAAGACAGTTCTACAACAAACTGGCTGGTAACTGAAGCAGAACATGCAGGCAGCAGGCAAAAGAGACCTCAGGCCATTATATCAGATAGGCACCAGGTATCTATCTTGGAAGAGATCAACCCAGATGATGAAACCAATAAAAGATGTTCATGAGAACCCGATTGCCAAGATGGAGAAACAAATAAAACAATGGGCGGCTCACTTCAAAAGACTCTTGAATAGACCATCACCTGCAACTCGTCCAGAAATACCACCAACAACAACGCACACACAACTGTCTGCTAGTGGACACCACTCCATCAACGAAAACAGAAATCCTAAATGTGGTCAAGCTGCTGAAGTTCGGCCGGGAAGGCAGCAGGACCAGATGGTATTCCCACTACCCCAAAGCATTGGAAACGGACTCAGAGACTGTCGCAGATATGATCACGCCATTATTGCAAAAGGTTCAGAAAGAAGGAAAGTTACCTACCAACTGGAAGAAAGGCTTCTACCTCGTCAAACTGCCAAAGAAGGGCAACTTAGGCCTATCTCTGCAGGAAGTGACGTGGAATAATGCTCTTGTCCACGCCAAGTAAAATACTAAGTCACATCATCCTGGAGAGAATAAAGGATGCACTGGATACAGAACTCCACCAAACGAGACAAGCTGGATTCAGGAAGAGCAAGTTATGTGCTGATCAAATTACAGCTATACGCATCACTATGACAGAAAAAAGCATAGAATGGCAGTCAAAACCTCTAACTCAACAGCTTCATTGACTTCAAAAAGGACTTCAACAACGTTGACCGAGACGTAATTTGGAAACTACTTCAACACTACGGCGTACCTCAAGTCTTTATCAACTTCATTCAACAGTTATGCAACAATGCCACGTGTCAAGTGATCCACAACGAAGAACTCAGTGAATACAGGAGTAAGACTAGGCTGGCTTCCTGTTATCACCGATAATATTTCTCATTGTGGTGGATTGGATTATGCGTCAGATAGTGTGCGGAAAGTGAGATGACAGGAATACGTTGAACCTGTACAAAGACTCTAGAAGATCTGGATTTCGCCAATAGCTAGTTTAATTTTACTCAATCTCAAAGACTTCTAGGCGAAAACTAACAAAATGGCTGAAGAACCAGGCAGGCAGCGCAGACAGGATGCCAGGGGAAAATAGGGAAGACGGAGGAGATGAAGACAACCAACCAACAGCAACAACAACCAGCACCAATCACCATCAACACAGGGCATAGCAAAGGATGAAGATGTCAAAGTCAGACAGAATCGGAAAGGCAAGATACGCCTTCACTAACCTGAAACCAGTTTGGGATTCTTCTGCACTCCGCAGAATAAGGAACAAGCTTCGGATTTTCAACACAAATGTGAAGTCTGTCAGTTCTTCTATACGGGTCAGAAATTTGGCATGTACGTCACGAAGAGGATTTCCAACAGGTTGCAGACTTTCATCAACAGCTGCATTCGCTCCATACTGAAGATCAAATGGCCAGAAAGAATTAGTAACAAGAAACTCCGGCTGGGAACAAACCAACAAGCAAGAGCCGATCGCTCAACAAATATGTAGAAAATGAAGATGGACCGGGCATACGCCCCTGAGGAGGCCGTCGAATGAAATCGTGTTCAATGCAGGCCATTGCTCGAGTTAAATCCGAGTGGGATGTCGGTGCAAGAGAGAAATGAAGGAGATCAGGCGAGTTGGAGGAGATGAGAGATTATGGGCAATCGTGGGTGCGGCTGAATGGGACATCAGAAAACAGAAGAAAGTGGAGATGTGTTGTTGAAGCCCTATGTTCCAATCGGAACCCCAGGGAATAATAAAAATAATATTAAGCGACCTGCCTAAATCACTGGGTTACCTAAAATTCCATCCAGTTAAATGCAAGGGTTGTTAGAACGGACAGCCTATCGTCGTTAGCTGTGATGTTATAGTTCATGCATTCGCTGACACGCTAACCTGATTGGACAGTTATTTTCATTGATTTATTTAGCCACTCCAATAATAATATTTATACCAGAATTCGGACTGACTTGTTTTAACGTAGAACTTTGCACAGATGCGCAGCAGTTCGAGTCGTCACTCTCCAAGTAGCAAGCAATGCAAGAGAAGAGAGTAAATAGCAATAGCAAACAGAAGTGTGAGGGAAAAAGAATAGTTACACGGAAGAACAGTGGAGTTTTATTGGATATGACAAATCATTGAAAGTGGATGCATCTGCGCCACTGAGAACGATTTTGAGCCATATCACCAAATGTCTCCAGCCATCATTGGTTTTTACCATCCCGGGGACCCCAACCAGCCAGTCATGAAGTCTACACTTCCCTTCATGACTTAAACTAACTGCTGTGGATCCCACTGACTGATGCCATGTTTTGGTTTGACCACCACTAGCTCTTTTCCAACCTGATCGATGCCGTGTCAGCTAACATTGCCCGTCGAGGAAGGTGATCGCTAGGCTCACGTGACACATGTCTTAACCATTTCAATCGATTCACCTTCACAACGTCGTCGATCGATTTCGCTTCCTTAACTATCACTCGACCGAATCTAACCTCAATATTGCTCACCTTATAATACCACCTAACACGGGAAACAGAATTCAAACACCTATGATCAAAGACAACTAGCCTCCTCATGTCTTCCACTTCCAATGGCCATAAAGGAGGACGGAGCGGACTGCTGAGTAGTATACACGCCCTTTGGTCGATAGCCGGATATCACGTGTACTAAGCCAGAGAAGGCGTAAGCTGGCATATGCCAAACAAGTCTTCTGTTTCTGTGCTGAAATTTTAGATGCCGGAATTCGTGGGTTGATAGATTTTGGTATGAGCAAAGTTGCAACCAGCGATCTTCATCAACTGGCCTGAGACCATTTAGTTCTCAAGGATCATAAAAACAAACCTCCTTGCAGAGAAGTCAGCCACACTGTATATTCATCTGCAACTACTCTAAGAGTACATTTCATTAAGATCACTCAAACGATCGTACAGCATAAAGCTTGAAAAAGACATCTGTTCACCTTCCACTTACATTTCATGACAATTGGTGGGAGAAGTGCAGCTCCAACTAATCAAAGTCACTCTACTTAAACTTACGCAGCCCTGTATGAAAACCTACTGAGAGTTATCATCTGAAGTAAAGACAGAAATCAATAATTCCTTATTTCTACCAGTAATATATTTTCACCGATCTCTACTTTCCAAAGAATATAGTTGAACAGTTAAATTCAATGAGCCACGGAACCCACAGTCCTGACACTATGGAAGAGGAGCTGTATACTCTAAAAAGAATCCTCCTTGAAAATGGCTACCAAAAACATTTCATAATAAAATCCATGAAAATCGCCTACACTTTCTACTCCCAAGAAACCTCTCTACCTGAGTCTACAATTCAATGGACACTCATCAGCAGAAATACTGAGAAACCAGCTGTCCCGCATATTGAAGAAAACAATCTTGACAGCTGAACTTCCAATAACTTTCTCTACGGAACCAATGATTCGCATGAACGTGAAGTATAAGCTACCACTGTTGTCCTCACCGATGTGCATCTATCAGTTCACCTGCTGGTGTGGAGCTAGATATGTCGGCCGTAACCAGCATTTGCTATCCAAACATATCACCGAATACTTAACTTCATGGTTTTATAAAGGAGGAGAGATACCCCACTACCACAGCTCATCTTGGAACACCTGATCGAATCTGTACACCAAGCTGACTCACGCACAAAAGAACTTCAAAGGCATCTACAGAATATGTGGGAATCTTGCTAAAAGAGTAAGAATCAGTCTTCTTCAAAGAGCAGAAATAATGGCTATTCGCATGTTAAATCCTGAACTCCGCATACGAAATAAGTTTGGTCAGTCATTAAATTTACGGTGGACCTGATCTATCTTAACACACCAAATACGTAATTTTTGTTCTTTGTATCTTAATTGTTTTATTTTCTTTCTCCACCGCCTATTAAATCTCTACCCCTTGTTACCGCTGTTGTTAACTTGACTCTTATTCAGTCTTAGATGAGTTTCACTCAGCTCCATCAATTATATTACGTCACTCAGCTTACTCAACTTTCTACCCAATTAACGCTTTCTAAATCACATAATTTGTTATCTAAAATTCACAATTCTAATGACACATCTTTGAAAATATTCCTTTGTTGCCAAGACAATTATATATATATATATATATATGCGAATGTACAGCTTGAGAATGATATCGCCGAGAGGTATACAACTTTGCAGCTAACATAGTATATCCATTTAGGTGAAGACAGTCTTCGGCTTCAGAGTAAAGTAGCCATTTCAGTTCAAATTATTTAAAGAAACACAACCTTCTAAATTAAGTACTCATTATGGACTCAACAAATACAAAGGTATGTGTACAGATCCTAGCCTTCATATATAACATATCCTGAACTACTTATTCAATATTATAGTAATAATAATAAATCCATTCAAATCAACATAACCTCAAGAGTTTATTTAATGCACAAAAAAGACACATCTTATGCACAGAGATATACACTGGACAAAATTTGTGGAAATACACAACACAGACCAAAGCGTATACAATTCCCACCGGGGATATGAAGTAAAAATGAACAGGCTTTGAGATTGAACACTGTTTTGTTTTGTTTTTCCCCCTAATTTCAATCAGATTTGTAGGCATCAATTGCACTGAGACGTTCAAGTAATGGTGGATGTGAATGATTGAACATGGAATACAACCAATCACATACAGGAAACGATAAATTATCTTTTAAAAGAATAATTAAAGCAGATTTTAAATGTTGTCCATAACCTAATTTTACAGCAAAAGCATCTGCTTGAAATTCAAATTTTCTAGATAAAACTGTCATCATAAAATCCATGACTGTATTATACGGAGAGAATATAAACTGGAAAATAATAATTAATCTTAGCATAATCGGCGTATCATTATCTTTGAAGCCGAAAGAAGTGAATAACACATTCATATCCATTAGAAGACCGAATATAACAAACATCATTAATAGATTTGCTTTCCCAATGAAAAGATTATAAATTGTATGATTCAACTTCCAATGTCCTAGTTCATGTGCAATAACTGATAAGATTTCTTCATCAACTGAACAACCACGCTGGTCAGATTCTTTTTTAGTCTCCTCCTGTGTAGCTGCAGTTGTATCTTCACTTTTACCGGGAAATTTAAAACCACGAATAAGTGTATCAAAAATAACAATTCTTTTATTTTTACCAAATCCATAGAAGTAGGCGTTACTATGCGCTGAACGTTTTGAGCCTTCAACAACCAGGAGTTTTTTCAATGGGAACTTAATAGATGCTGCTAACGCTTCTATTTTCGTCTTTAAAGATCCATCCGGTAGTGGTTCATAATGATCGAACAATGGTGCAATGTATTCTGGATACACAAACATTAAGAATATAGTAACTAATACTGTGAATACAAAGGCATATATGTAGAAATAGCGTCCACCAGCTTTGATAATCCATATTAGACAAGACAGCACTGGAATACCGATAAGCATTGAAATGCACAACGATTTAATTTGATCCTTGATAAAGAAACCAAACGACTGTTTGTTAAAACCGTGACGTGCTTCAATTACAAAGGTGCTATAAGTTGTCCATGGGAATGAATCCACAAATATGAGTAAAGCTGTATACAAGAAGAATATGATGGAACACTTAATCTCACTGTCTACTCCAAGACCCATATTAATACCGAATTTCTCAACAACATAAGCATTTAAAATGGTTGAATGCTTTACAACAGTATACCATAACCATGGTAGAAATGAAAAGTATAAGACTGCTGACAATTCAAGAATATGATATACACCACTGACTAGAGAGAAGTTTGATCGATCAATAGCATAAAGACGTGACTTTTGAAAACTTTCATTATCCATAACACTTGATAATTCACTTGGAACATTTGTCGAGTTGATAATTTTTCTTCTCTGACGTATACTTAAATATGTTTCCCAAAGGTAGGTACACCATAAGAATATGAATACACCGGAAAATAAAGACACTGGATATCCAGAAATTACGAACAGTACAAAAGGTGTATCCATTTCTCTAAGCGTCATTGATATTCACCAGAATTTGATATTTGTCCCAACAACTGAATGTTAGGGAAATACTATTAATTAGTAACCAAGATCAGTACCTAAAATAGAAATTAAATTAGTCAGTAATTCATTACACGATAGTGAGAAAATAAAATATGCCGAGGCATCGACTTAAAATATTGAACAAACACGTAGGATTTGCTACTGATGGTATTGGAGTCAATGAAAATAACTCACACTTTGATCGAATACAGAAAAAAAGTACTTCCTACAACAACCATCACACTGTTCTTCGAGATTCAATCTTACGTAGCTACCAAGTGTTCATCAATGAATATCAAAAAGTGATATGGAATGTATGCAATTATGGCACTTGAGTTGCTGTAATAAATGATCACTGAAGGCCCACTAGTTACTATGCTGGAATGTCGAGACGCTAAAAGACAACGGTTGGAGAATGACATAGCTCAAAATCCTTTTTCAATAGCAGAAAGGCATGCACGCAATTTTTCTGCATCGTAATCGACGTAATTCTTAGCGTCAGCTTTACACTAATTTCCTGAAGACACCTAACACAATACTTAGTCGACAAATACATCACGTATAAGCAAGTTGAGTGACGTAATCTATTTGATGGGGTTGAGTAGAGCTCAAATGAGATTGAACGGAAGTCAAGTTAACAACAGTGGTAAGAAGGAATAGAAATTTAATAAGGGGTGGGGGAAGAAAATAATACAAATTAGAAACAAACAAGCACCCTTAGGAAAATTGTTCCCAAGAGCTCTTTTAGTTTACAAGTCATGTAACACTTATGATCATCGGTGAGAGACTATTGTTATTAAATTTCACACCAACACGCTTTCCATCAACAATATCCAGAAGTAATTATTGTACGAGCATATTTCTGGATGCATATTTCCATTCACCACTTAATCATATACATTAATTTGATGCTAATAAAAGTATTCCACTCCAAATCATGCAGCTGTGTAAGACCTTATGAAGAACTGCGATCGGAACTAGCGACAAACAGTAACATCCGCTAGTCATGCCCGGTGTTGTTGTTCTTATTGAATTTTATGAGACAATGGCAAGTGTGAATACAGCACCCTTACCAAATTAATTTGATAGCACTAAAACGTGTCAAAAGAGATACCAGTCTACTGGAAACAGTGTAAGCACCAGTAAGAGGGGCAGACATCGGTCTCTGGAGTGAATCGTATAGTGAAAAGTCGAGAAAATTAAGTCCTTTCACATGTGTAGATAGAGGCGGACACAAGCGGTAGTTTATCCTCAACGCACTCTCGAATCATGTTTCGGCTGGTAAATACCAAGTGTAAGTCAACTGCATACAAACAGCGTCTAAAACATTTAGATAGACAACTTTTAATGACTTCAGCGACAGTGTCACCTTTGAACGCCAAACCCATAAACACTGTCTTCTTTGGCACTGTGATTTAGGTGGGAACGGCGTCTTTTTTGGTGTTTCTGTTATTAAACCTCCTAGGATATCCATTATTTCAGAAAATTGTGAGGTTTTCTAGTACTTTGTCGACCATATCTATAAAGAAAATTTTCCGAATCCTGCAGCATAGAGAACGGATAAGATCTCCCTTCCTACCTAGAGGTAACCAACTGTTGTAGTGTATTGCCCAGTAAATGTCGGCATTCGATAGATCGACCTTTTTAACGTGCCATCTAACATCACATCTAGGAAGTGAAATGGGGAGTTCGATTCTTCTTGGATGGTGAAAAGCATCGATTGGTGAGAACCATTAAATTTCACTAGAAGCACGGCAGTTGAACAGTTGTCGTTACAAACAATGTTGTCAATATATCGATTACACATATACAAACTCGAAATAGTGTCTTTCAACGTACCACTGTTTTAGCTTGCCACGAAGACATCCGCTATGAGAGGTCCTAATGCATACCCCATGGCGACTCCCATCCCTTCGATTATAAGTGACATTGTTAAATCTAAACTACATATTAAGCGTGCATCTTAGTAAGAGCTTCTTCAGATAGTTAGTTGGTACTCTAAGGTTTATACATTTTAGGTTGATGTAATCACATAGATAACAAATAGTTTCTACCAAAGCTACATTTGTAGAAAAAGAGCAAGCATCTAGAGAGATCATGTGCTAACCAGTCAACGCAGATGACGAAGACGTGTCCGAAAGACTATGTTTACATAAATTTGATCTTATTGGTTCAAGGATTTCAACGAGTCATTTGGCTGTAGAATGATAAGGAGAGTTCAGCATATCCAATATAGGTCCCAGAGGGACACCATCTTTATGCGTCGGTGGCACAGTGGTTAGGACTCTCGCCGACCATGTACATGGTCCGGGGTTCGATCCCCTGCCGGCGCACACCCGATATCTATGGTATGCCTGAATTTGGGCAACCGATATCCATGCTGAAAATTCCATACTTGTACTGAAAATACGGTGTGGAATCAAGCTGTAAATCAAATAAAAAAAAGACCATATATACGGCGGATGGCTGAGGCAGACGGCCTGAGATGTTCTTACAAATACGGAGTAATAACAGATTCGTCCTTCGGCTTCTTCACAGATTTTGACAATTAATTCTCAATATCTTAATGTGTTAGACGCTGTTGGTATGCAGCTGACTTACACTTGGTATTTGCCAGCCGAAATATGATTCGACAATGCGCTAACGATAAACTACCGCTTATGTCCATGTCTATGTGCATATACTGATTCACATGCTCGTGTGGAGCTGCTTACATTGTACGTTTTAAGCATCTTCTCCGTAAACGCATAGCTAAACACTACTCGCTGAGCAAAGAACGACGGAGTTTTCAATTTGTAAGTGCACTATAGAGTCAGGTCATTCAGCCCCACGTAATTTACTTCAAAGTTATTTATAGGACCAAATCTAACCAATCCAAAAGATTACGTTTTCTCCACCTATGCACAGCCAACTGCTCTAGCTATACATGGACAGAAACCTAAATTATGTGTTTAGGAACTTTTTGTCCAACCCTTTTCTTTACGTTCTCTTATTTTATTTTTAGTCTACCACTTGAATTCATTCCATTTCACTTCATCTTCGCCATCTTTACTGTTATCATCATCACACTGTTAATTTGTTCTTACAAAACACTTGACCGGCAGTTTTAAAATCTTTATACCAGTTCACTTACCTAATAATCTTTAAAAGTTTTGTAATCCATCAACTTCAACTACACCCCCTTAAAACATCATTTTTAATTATCTTTATTCCTATCGTATGTACAGTATTGACTGAGCGATTTCTAGTGCCACTTAATTCCTTTTTCTGTTATATGACTGTACAGCTTTGACAATGAAGTCGCTGAAAAGAGATAGTATTTCCTCGCCGAACAAAAACTGTGCCTTTCACATATAGTTACTGTTGGCATAGGAGTGACCTAATTACTGCCTACATGGTGATAAATTACTGGAATAATCCACAGGTATTGTCATCAAGGACTCCCTCATGGCAACCTAAAGATGACCCTGTATCACAGGACAAAGAATCGAGTGCAATCCTACTCCTGTTCACCTGAAGTTTGCCCCAACCGGAACTCTTTACCAGCTACTGCGACTTCAGCGGAAAGGTTTAGTAGAGGAGCAGGGTTATCGTGGAGCGACACAAGAAGTGTGTCCAAATGGGACAGTATCTTGATAGTCACCTACCACAGTTTATTAATGGGTATCACTTAGACTCGTCCTCCACCCGTCACAAATATCTGTGGTCCCACTCTTCTGACTACTCTACTTATTCATTTTTTAATTACTAAATTTTACTGCATAGCTATTTGTTCGTGTTTCAGTATAAGTTTACATAATCCCCATTAATTACGTTATAATTATCCATCTTTCTGACTACACTGGACGATTAACGGCCGGGAGGATTAACATCATTCCCATCAGTAACACTGCATCCTACGTATTATATGATATTCATGAAGATGAATTCAGTGAGATCTTGGTTGTTATCAACACAATAATTAGTGCCGTGACTGATTGTTGACTTCAAATATCACTGCATGACTAAGAAGTATTGAAATCATTACATCAATGCCCTGATGTAATAAAGCATGCAATTCCGCCTATCACTGTAAAATACGTTTGCCGTAAAGACTGTATTAAAAAAGTGCACACAAAACTGTTGTGAATTCTGGAAACTAACAAATGGGAAGAACACTGAGGATTTAAATCCTCAGCAATTGCTGACAAGATTGTACAGAGAGTAGTATCACGGTCTTCACCAACTATCTAAAACCAAATAATTAACGAGAAGACAATGTGCATGAAGCAAAAGAAAGAACAGTGAACATAAGTGCGCACTAAATTTGATACACGTATAAAACCACAATCAACACAAGTAACCATACTTAAATTTCACTTTTCAACACTGCCGCTGCTGCATCAGCTACAAACAACCTTCACCCTACACTGTGAAAATATAACTGACATGCGGGTAGTAGGAAAAGCGTATAGAAATTTGCTGAAAATTTAAGTGAAATTTCAAGATTTATTGAATACCTACCTTTTAGAGGAAGTTAAAGTTTAAACACCAAAACGTGCCAATGGAGTGCGACCGCACCCGTGAAACTTGGGCGCTTGCTGAGCAAGTTAGTAAAACCATAACCATTAGTGAAATAAGCTCATTGAAGTGCTATGATACTAAGCAAAGTATCTCGTAACTTTTAGGCCAGGTTTGGGAGCGTTTAAATTAAGGTTTAATCAAAGGACTGTTTAGGTTTACGTTTAAACTAATGAGAGAGATATTAAAGTTAGCTCGAACTAGATTCAGATTATTTTAGGGACAGTTTCATGTTAGAGTTAGGCTAAGGAACGATTAGGGTTACCACCAGGGCAAGAAGACAGATGAACACGTGCAGGATATGATATAATTCCTCAGTTGACATGCCAATCCGAAACTGAGAGGCTTCTTGTCATACGTCAGAGAAAGGTGAATTGAGTAGCGATTTCACTCCTTTTTTATTCCTTTTTCACAAATATGTACATTTTCCGTAAATATTGCTTTTTTCATGTGACTGGTGCGTTCAGGATTATTTTTCCTCGACCGAACTCCTCTGTGTAGAGTTTAACCTTGCCACCTTTTGATTATTTGGTTCAGTTCGCTCCTATCAGAACAGAAACAATTAGTGAAGCAAAATGTGATTTATTAAACCATCCAAATCAGGATATTTATTTCTCAGTTAATGTTGCTAAGCCGAAATTCGTTCTTAGCTACCTAATAATTACAGGAAATGTCGAACGTGGTGCACCCCCAGCCTAACTCATCCACCTAAACAGTGGAGGTCAGCACCCAGCGACGACAGCTGATGTGACTACAAGTTGTAGATCTATGTGATCTTTAACCGCCACAGGCTAAACACTTCATGTTAAACAAAGGGCACTTTTGAACACCACAATTTCTGTGTCTCGTTAGCAATCAGCAACTGAGTTAAGGCTCTCTTCAAACATAACACTGGGCATGTCATGTCAGGCAACATCATAACTGATAGGTTAGTCCAAATCTTCTTCGTAGCTCTACAGGTAACGTCGTGCTTTGATATCTCAGTAATTTACATCTATGCAAACGTTTTTATGAGGAAACCGCGAATCAGAAATAAATACAAGTCTAAGATAATCAATCGACCAATTATGCACAGGAATGTCTTTCAGTCATCTTGAGTCAACACACAATGCCGCAAATGGCCATATCTAAATCACTACTCCAATACGCTCCTGCATGGTGTCAAAATAATCTGCAAACTCAGTGAAGCCTCAATCATATCAACCCCATCGATCAGTTTGTGTGTCGGTATTGATAAAACCAAGGCAGACATATCACAAACAACTGAATTTTCAAGGAACTAGAGAGTAGTTTCTGCATTTCACCGTGATTGTGGATATCTATGTCCTTCCTTCACTGAGTAAGGCTGTACTGAGTGTAGCCCCACCACATGTCATGGGGTCAGACGGTTGTGCGGCTTAGATCTGGCAGGACAAATGCTCCCGTAGGGGACCAAAGTTCGTGAAGTCAGTCGAACCTCAGACGCTTCACATTCAGTTATTTTGCATGTGCGGACCGTAACACATGGTGGTTGGTATAATTTTCAAGGGAAAATGGCGTTATGATGTGATTTTATAAATGTGTGCTTTATTCATGCCATCGTTAATAAATAAATCTTTTAACTGTCATGAATGTTAAATTCTCCTCCCACTAGCTCGGGAGGTGTTGAGGCCAGTCTGGTCACCGGGTTGCGTGGATCAGGCTAAAGAGTCGGCGGGTAACTTGGTCAGGGGCCAGGTCTATCAGGATAGATGACCACACAATGATCGATAGCGTTGTTCATAGTTAAAGCCAACCTGAAACGAGCTCCAAGTTGTTCAAGCAGCTCAACTAACTGGCTTCCGAGAATCCCATTTTTTTTTTTTTTTTCATTCCTAGTTAATAACAGCAGAAAAAGGGTCTTCCCAAGACCGCCGGCAAAACAGCAGTTAGAGAGATGGCAGGATTTAGATTCGGCGACATGGTGGCTATCTAAGCCTTGAAGCTTTGGTCAGTTATCATTGCTATCACTGTGTTATTCGTTCCGTCAGCCGAACTCCCCTATTGCGTGCAGTTGTAAGCCACTAAATTTCAGCTTACCCTTCAACTGGTTTCAAGCTTTCATGACCTTTTGTATGTTGCCCCCAGATCACACCCGACTAGTCGCTTCTCATTTGGGTTCAACCCAAGGGAATGTTCTTCACTGTTACGTGTAAGCTTTCCACGAGTATATGCAGTCCATCTCCACTCAATTCTGCATACTTATCTTACAGTGTGTTGCTGACTGGATTGTGACCAGTGATTCTCGTCGCTTATCCCTTCAGGACTGTAATATGATTTTCAGTATCTAGCGAAAGCAACTGACGACAAAGGGAAAAGCTGATGGTTACTGTAGCACCACTGGAATGGTAATCTGTATGAAGTCATAATCACTGGATCTAATTTTAATTGATTTCACTGAGCCATCTCTGCATACCAATCCCTGTATTTCGTTTATTGCCTTCAGTAAAATACTCCATCCTGTTGCTATGAGATGAAAGAGCTGGTTAGGTGAATGCTTTACCCACTGCATTCTTAGCCATCTGAAAGTATTTGAAATAAGCATGCGAGCTAGCACCGTTTAAGAATAACCACAGTAGTTTCACTAAAATACTTCTGGTAATGACACCACTATTAAATTCTGCCCAACTAGTTGATAATAATGTCCGCATTTTGAGGCAGTAATTCGCTCGATATACAGCATACTGTCTATTCTCTAAACACCGGATGCTAAAAATCAGATGAATGTGATACAAATATCTGGGAAAAATAAAGCTTTAAGTCAATTCTCCTATAAAACTTTGTTGTGAACAGCATCCATGAGATAAAGTTTATTGATGTATTATTTTGAGTCAATAATGTATTTATTCCACTTTTATCAGCAGTCTTATCGTAGTTTTATAATAGGAAAGAAATTTGATCTTTGATACGAAAATTAGATAAGGTAATGTTAGATTGTTTTACTGCATCAAATGGGGTCAATTCTAGAACTATCCATTTGCGCCATTTGCGTCAGCATGGCAGACTGTACATGTAAGTTGAGTAATACATTGAAAACTACTTGAAAACCAGTTGTTTCTTTATATCAGATCAAGAATAACCCTTGTACAGAATGTTAGCCAGCGTTTTCAAATGGTAGCATCGGATCGGTCATGGAATTTGAGTTTGAATTTACATAAATGGTCACTTCAGTTTAGATGTTGGGTTGTTCGACCTCGACCAGGAGGTATATAGAAGATTACGCTCAGCAGGGAGATAAAGTATGTAAATATGGAAAGAACATTATTATTTTATGTACATATAAATGTTTATAAATGTATATCATTGTGTAGTAAACACTACCTATAATCTAGTTGTTTTCATGTAATTTTGCGAAGTTTTAGAGTTTATTTAGTGTCGTAATATTTAATAATGAGTCTAGGCATTATAGTGTTCTAATAGCTCATGCGTTTTGGAAATAAGTGGTGCGGTGTGATTGGCATAGTCATTGGGATGAAGCAGTTTATATAGCAAGCGTTTGAAGGTTATAATAGAGTGACAGGTCCTTATTTCTAGGGGTAAACTGTTCCAGTCTTAGAGTACATGACTATGAAGAAGTTTGCACGGAGCGCTGTCTTACAGTTTTTCCTAGATACTGTGCACGTTTGGTTACGAAGGTTGTAAGAACCTTCCGGTGAGAACTGTATCTCCTTGCTGTCTGAGAATGATATTTTATGCAAGACTTTAAAGAAGAATGTTAGGTTAATGCTCAGTCGTCTCATCCAGAGTGGGTCGATACCTAGAGTTATACACCTTGATGTGTAGTCCTTTTCGCAGTCAAATCCTAGTAGTTTAGACGTGAAGTATCGTTGGACACTTTCTATTTTAAGTTTGTCACTTACGCGAGTGCTGCTGAGAATAAATGGACAATATTCAAGTAGTGGTCTGACACAAGTTTTATATAATAATAGCTTCGCCTCGTAGTTGTGGAAATTCCTGAGTATGCATCCTAAGAGCATCCTCGATTTACGCGTCTGTGTCGCCAATTGCTCAGAAAATGTGAGGTAACTAGAGTACCCGATTCCTAGGTCAACAACACTTTGGAGTTTAGGCAAGTCAATAAATTCAAGTACCAGTTTGATATTTATTGAGGGTGCACTGAATCAGATCCAACCACATTTTTTAAGGTTGAATTTTAGGTTCCATGTGGAGGACCATGCAGTTACTCGATCTGGTTCTTCCTGAACAGCTTTCTGAAAGTACCCTAAGTCATCACAGTGGAATGTGTAAGCTACTTTAAGATCATCTGCAAAGATGGGAAAATTTTGCAGCTTCAGGACGTCCCTCGACTTGGCGGTACGTTCGAAATTGGTGACATTTTTGCACGTGTTTGCTCTGATATTCATTTACTGCTTATAGTCATATAATCCCTGTAATTATGGTCCAAATATCTAAAAAACGTGTTCGTAGAAACACAGTTGTTTTAGATAGTGCCTCAACCTCGGTTATAACTGCATTACCACCCTGTAATACAGCATTAACTACTAGCTCACAAAATGGCTTGAGTGCAATTCTCACTCCTGTGATACAGATGAAAGATGTTCTGTTAGAGAACTCTGAGATCTGTAAATTAGACCTCCTTGTGAAAGATATCCAAAGGCAAGTAAATGAACTTCAGAAAAAAATAGGTCAGTTTGATAGAATGTCACTGCCATTGTCAAATATCACGGAGAGCAGTTCTGATATTGGCCAGGTTAAGTCTTTGCTGGATGTAACTCAAAGCAAGCTTTCGGATTTAGACCCAATAGCCTGTCTGTTAAAAAAGCATCCTAAAATGTCTCCA